TGAAAAAGACTGCGAAGATTACCAAAAGAGGAATAGCTAGAGAAATCAGTATAGGCCCACACCACCTAATCGACAACACTCTGAAGAAGTGAACAAAAGGCCAAGGCCGGCGCCATTTCAAAGCCCACCAGAGCCTTGTAAAAAATGTGGGAAGAGACGTGGGATAAAGTTATTGGGAAATCGGAGCTTGTTTGCAATGTGGGAAGTTGGGGCACAAGATCAAAGATTGTCCTGCCTTGAAAATGCAGCAACATTCGAAGCCTGAAGAGATAGTCCAGAAACCTCAGACGAAGGGGAGAGTATTTGTAATTACCTAGCAAGATGCTCACGCTTCAAAATCAGTGATCCAAGGTACTCTTATTATCTTTCAAGAAGTAGCTCATGTTTTGATTGATCCTGGATCTACTCATTCATTTGTGTCACCTCACTTTGCATGTCACTTAAGAGTAGAACTAGAACAATTGGAATACATTCTAGAGGTAGCCACACCTATGGGGAATTCAATTAATATCAATCTAGTATACAAGTCTTGTGTGATAAGGATAGAAGAAAATGAAATGTTAATGGATTTAATACTCTTAGAAATTTAAGATTTTGATGTGATCTTAGGCATGGATTGACTATCTGCATACCATGCAAGTATTGATTGTTATAAGAAAAGGGCTACTTTTAATATTCCGAATCAACCAGTATTTTACCTCGAAGGTATCAAGGAAGCCTCTCCACCATTTTTAATCTCCTCAATTCGGGCTAATTGCCTCCTTCGAAAAGGATGTCAAGGCGTTCTTGCCTATGTTAAAGTAGATAGAAAGGAAAAGATAAACTTGGACACTATTCCGGTCGTCCGAGAATTTCTTGGCGTATTTTTTGAGGAATTGCCAAGGTTACCACCTGATAGGGAAATTGAATTCTCTATTGAGTTACTTCCCTAAACAGCCTCAATTTCTAAGGCCCCTTATCGAATGACACCTGCGGAACTTAAACAACATTTGGAAGAATTATTAGATAAAGGTTTTATCAGACCCAGTGTGTCACCTTGGGGTGCTCTGGTATTGTTTGTTAAAAAGAAAGATGGGACCATGAGATTGTGTATCGATTATAGACAACTAAACCAAATGACAGTGGTAAATAAATATCCACTACCTAGAATTGATGATGTATTTGATCAATTACAAGGGTCACAAGTATTTTCAAAAATTGATCTTATATCTGGATACCGTCAGCTCAAAATTAAAAGTGATGATGTTCCCAAGACAGCTTTTAGAATAAGGTATGACCATTATGAATTTTTAGTCATGCCTTTGGGATTAACCAATGCAGCGGCTGTATTTATGGATTTGATGAATCGAATCTTTAAGCATTTTTTGGATAGGTTTATTGTGGTATTCATCGATGATATTCTAATTTATTCCATGGATAGGGAGGAACATGAACAACATGTAAGATTGGTGTTGCAAATACTAAGAAAAAAGAAGTTGTATGCCAATGAGGTATGTTTGGACCTGCAGGGGTTGTTTGGACCCATCAGGACGCTGGTGGGTTATATAGGTGACCCACTTGGGATGCCAGTAGGGTACTTTGTGAAATCCTTTTAATTATGCATCTCTGTTAAAATGTTTATATGTATTTCCATCATTTGGATTATGTTTAACTGTGGATTTGTGAAAGTACAATTTGTTATCTATAAATGCTTTTGCTTGAAATTCTTCCTCAGGTTGTTTTTTTTTACATACATTCTTCAGAAAATGTTTATGTCTTCCAAGCCTGATTATTTTTAGGACCTTGATGATCACTTACTGAGTAGCCAAACTGACCAAACTATGATAAATATTTTTCAGAGTAATTACAGTCTCATAGTTAAATGCACATCAGGACCAGCTTGTGAAGAAGATGCAATCATGTCATAACTAAATTCTCCTTTGTAACTTTTGTTTAACTTCACCACTGTAAACTTTTGCTCTATCAACAGATGTATACCTGGCCTTCATGTTAATACCAGGTTTGAGCAAACTTTGTACAAATTTTAATTAATTGAAAATTTTGTTTTGTTACAATATATATTAATAGGAATTTGAATTTTTTCTAGTATAAAAATAGTCTGTCGCACCTCAGGAATGTTTGAAATCTTGGGACGTGACACATGTGTTGAAGAGTTTTATGATGAAAAATATTTTTGAAATCCCCCCATAATACATAATGAGGCGTTGGTAAAAAAACATAAAGAGGGGAGGTTTTGTTGATGAAAGAGGCAAACAACTTCATGATACATCTGCACTACCATGCTCCATTCGATATAATGACGTCTTGCAGGCTGTTCGATACCGCGTTGAGCGTGTGTAAGAAAGTGTGGAGGTTCATGAATTTGTAATATCTTTAATACACGATGATATCGTAGAGGTTAATGGTAAATTCGGTTGTAAGCGACGTCCACAGGTTGACACTATGAGCCATGTCAATGATGAGAAGAGTGCTACTAGTTGTAGTGACACACCAAATGGAAGTTACAACTGTCAAAATGTCCTTGATCCTCCAAAAGCACGGGTAAAGGGATGGCCAATAAATGCAAGAAAAAAAGCTCGATCAGAGGGATGGAAGCCAATGGAGAAGTCTAGGAAATGCGCATTTTGCCAGGGCAGTGGGCATGACAAAAGAAATTGTCCATCATTCGTTCGTGAAAAGTAGTAATTCATATCTTTAGATTCTTTTGAATTTTAATTGTGTAAGCTTTTCAATCTACATGGATTAGCATTTTCATATGATATTACTCATTGTGAATATATTATGAAATGCTAATATTGCATTTTGTTTTTTTACTACAGGGTTATTTCCAAAGTCTGCTGTAAGATTCGGTCCCATAAGAACATGGGACATAAGCATTGATGGCAAGTAGCATTATGTATTATACTTGTGACCAGATATAGATTGCTCCGTCAGATCGGCCCAAATTCAATCTGGGCCGTTGGGCTCATATGTTCATATGAGCTAGTGCGCTAATCTTAACATTTTCATATATATATATATATATAGGTGCAGTTGGCATACAAATGCATCCGTAGCTGTAAAGGTATGGTGCGCCTTCAAATTTTATCATGGTATATAATTTTGATGTAAAATGTTTTTAGGATTATCTCAAAATCTATTTTTATATCTAATTATAAACTTTTAAATTTCAAAAAAGGTTAAAATCAAATAGATCTATAAACATTTTAAAGTCTTGAAAATGGATGGTGTAGATAATATGTTGTAAAATGCACTATTTCTAAGACTTAAAATCTTTTTATTTTTCATGGTCATACATCTCAATGTCGAGATGGTCAATCAAAGGATTTTTCAACATTAAAACTAACTTTTCTGATGGATTTTTGAGGTGCATCCGTAGCTCTATATTATAAGGTTGCAACGTTATATATATATATATAGTAATTACCCTATGAAATCCTCCCACACCCATGTGTGTAGGACCTCAAAAGATCACCATTAAATTTTGCACAAATCTCTAAAAAAGTTATCAAATGGGTGGGACTTGACTTTTCTAAAGATCTGTGCCAAATTTCATGGTGATCTTTCGGCATCCTACTCACATGGGTATGGGAGGGTCTCACAAGGTCGTTTCCCCCTCCCACACACACAAGTCTAATGGTCTAAATTGAATCTAGAACGACGTGACAGTCACGATTGTATTTTCTATTTAAATTTTAATATTTTTTATAAAAATACAAATCATATGAAATTTAAGACGTCTATACTTCTCATTAAAACATACCTAATAACATTCTTTTAAAAATAATTCGTAAAAAATAAATTAATCAAAATACTTTGAAACTTCAGAGGTATTTTGATCCATTTAATTGTTGTGAATTATTTTTTTATATTTCTATTATATTTTCCTATATTTTTTTAAAATGGATGCTCTAAATTTCAAGTGATTTAGATTTGTAGAAAAATTAAAATTTAAATATAAAATACAATCGTAACTATTGAATCGACTTAAAATCAATATGAGCCATTGGGCATTTACTGTAGCTATCAACTAACGGGCTAACTTCAAACTCTCATATATATATATATATATATATATATATATATATATATAGTACGACTACCTACTACAACGTACGTACGTAGGTAGGTAAGTAAGAACGAAGTAGGTTTCG